CTTTTTATTTTTATTTACGGCTAAGAGAGAGGTTTATTTGCAAAATAAATAAAAATGATATTTTATCGATTTATCGACTACTTTTTTTTTCAAATCGAATTATCGACTACAAATTTATCGACGGTGCCGGTAGTAAATCATATATATAATTGAGGTTTCGAATATATTTTTGATATCTATAATATATAAGCAATGTCAATTTTAGTGATGATCAAATATGTGCATGCAATTTTTTTTCAATTAACACTATATCCAATAATAACTAATTAGATTTGAACAAAAAAAATTGTTAATTAGATTAAAAAATCTACTTACTATGATTGTGACATATTATAACATAAAAATTTGTAATAATATTAACTTTTGTTTGTAGTGCTAATTGCACGACCATCAGACGGGTTATAACATAAAACTTAATTTTGACATTAAAAATTTGTTTTGAATGCCAAGTACATCAAAACGATTTCATGTTACATAATTTAACGTGCATACTTTTTTAGTTAAACCTAATTTAACATGTTGATCTAAACTCAAGAATATGTTTTTACATTAATTGAATTGTTAAAAAAAAATATGACCCATACTTTTAAAGTTTATGATATGAACATTTACATTTTGAAATTTACTTTCAAGTTTAAAAGAGAGAAAACTTAAAAGACCATATCTCTCAGTCCTCTAAATTAATTTAGTTAACGTTGCAAATTTTTGTGAACCTATCAGCCATAAACAGAAACAAAAGTTTATGTTAAACCTAAAATATATATAATAAAATTAAATATTGACATCCTTAATTGATAAATTATAATCCAATTAATGACCTGAAACTAAATTTTCAAATTATGTTAAACCTAAAATATTGTTTTTTAGGTAAAACCTAAAATAAGTTATGTAACTATTATCTGATAAATTATACTATAAAATATGAATAATTGTTGTGAAATCGGATGAAATAAAATATAAATTTTGGATAAAATAAAAAAAAAGAATTGAAATTGATCAAATATTTTTGTATTTTTATTAATCGTGAATAAATATTGGAAATAAGATTTCTGTATTTAAATATTAATTTTTGTAGCAAATGTAAAATAAAATTTTATTTTCCTAGTAAAAATAAATATAGAATATCTCAAGAAATAACATTATTCTTTTACTAATTAAAAAAATCATTGAAATAACTTATTCTGTCATTTGGTAACCATGCCGAAATTAAGATTTTCAACACAAAACAACAACAACAACAAAGTAGAGAACGATTGGATAAATTTGCTTTTTTGTCCCAAAAAAAAATAACTAGAGAAGGTAAAGTTGACAGAAAGTCCGGAGGAGGAGAAACAAAATCACATGGTTCTCCACACTTTATGCATCAATAAATTTTTACTTAAAAGAGTTCAATGTTCTTTTTTAATTATGGTACATCAGTCACAATTGAAGCAAAATGGGCATACATTACACTACCATATTGCTTTTTTTTACTATATTATATGTTATCATCACATGCTATGCCGCATCTAGTAATTCTACTTAGAGTTCCAATTATTCAATAGTCCCATTTTCTTCCTCTATTATTGAACTGTGAAACTCATTTCGTCGACAATAACTACAATGCATATATATAGGCTTTAGACTAGCTCTATGTTGATAGGTATCTAGTTAACGAAAATTATGTTTTCTTGTATTTTTTCTTTTAGTCACTTTTGAACACTCTTTACATCGGTTCGAATCCACTTACAGAAAATGACATAGTTACTGAAGCTACTAATTAAATCATCATCATGTCAAATTGTCAATTTGAACGAATTATGAGTTTCTCTTATGATTACGGATACAGTCATATGTATATATAAGTTATATGTATGTATCCGGATGATAAATCAGCGGTTACAAACTATACATTGTTATGTTACGAAGTTTTGGTATACTGTACTACGTGTAATTAGCATAAAACTCATCGATGACTATATTTTGGATGTACGGACGCAAAAATACAATGACTAAGAAATAAATCATGATGTTTAGGCATTTCTTTACACTTTTAAAACAAAATAATTACATTAAAGTCGTAAGTTATTTTAGTTGCTTGTATGATATATTAAGGTAACTTATATTTATTCGGCGTTTTACCAAACTTTTAATTACTATGCGTAATGGTGCGTTTCAAGACATAACCAATGTTAACTATTTTTTTCTTTTTTCTTCTTTTGTTTTTGTTTTACCCTTACAGATACACCGCTTAGATCTTACAATATAGATTTGTAAGTTTTAAACCTCTTCTTAACCTTATATAATGAAGCCACCTTTTATTTTATCCTTTGCCAAAGAAGGAGTTAATTGTGGGGACATGATCAAGCCACCTTTTTATTGCTTAATTTTGTATAAAAAATTATAAATTATCTTGAACTAAGCGGCTTCGGGACCGATTGAAAAAAAAAATATATGAAAATTGCATGAGGTCACTATGCATGTAGATTGTAGATAAACCCATACTTTGTAGTCAAAATCAAATTACATAACTAATTAATTTGGTAAGATAAGGCGTATTTGACGCGTATAACACTTAGTTTATGATACGAGAGTTGTTATGTTAATTTAATTTGTTTTTAATATCAAATTTAGCAAACGAATTAACATTGAAGAAATAAAACAATTGTTTTGGAGTCTTCTACCAGATTCATAGTTAGTGATTAAAAGAGTAGTATTCCACATAAGTACTAGACTACTAGTGCATTTTTAAATTGAAAAGTCGGGAACAAGAATTCGACAAACCGACAATTTAACCAGCAATTGACACATGTCTTTTGCTGTTCTTAATACACTAATTACGTTCGTGCACACGTAAAGCAAATCTATCAATCATTAAAAGAAACAACCGCATCTAATTAGTCACCCACATAAGTAATACTTAATTAATAATGACATACTAATCTTGATATACACTCTTGTTCAAAAATAAAATACACCTCGCCTATTGAATTATTTTCAAATCGAATGCGGCCGATTACTTTCAAATCGAATCGGGATTAAAATAATTCAAGCATCACAGGGTATAACTAGTTTTGGATCAAAAAAATTTGTGGTATTATAAATCAAATTAAAAAAAGAGAAAGAGAAAAGAGAAAAAGGGGATAGTAAAAGGGAATGAATCCGTGAAAATAGAATTGAGTTTCCGAGAAAGTCATCGATTTCCCCGGAAAGTCATCTCATCATTAAATGGTCCACCACCATAATTTCAGGGTCACCGATCTTATAATTTTCTTGTGGCCTCTCTCATCATCGCGCATGCATAATATTCGATACGAAAACATTGGGCTTTTATATAAATTAAATTAATACCCGAAAAAGGGTATTCTTTTTCCACATACATATTACTTTCGATAAAACACATGCATGCATATTATTATTACTTATAGAGATCGATCTCAAATTCTCAACGGCATAGCTTGGTTTGATTGTTTGATACTGTATATCTACATTTTGGCATTAAAACATAAAACAACTTCATCAAAAGAATACCTATAAAACAAGAATTTTATCAAAATACAAAATACAGTAATTATATAATTAAATGGGATTCGTTATAGGATTAGATAAGCTGCATCCATAATAGTGTTGTGCATGTATGTATGTACGTGTTGAAATTGGAAGATTCATGAATATGATACGTACATACATGTGTGTCACTTTATAACTATTTTATTTTCTTCATATAAAAATTCAATATTTCTGGCGGTCTCTTTCATAAATACATTAACAAATACGTCTCGTTATCGTGTATTTATTAAACAAAAATGAATATACGTGTATAATAAATATAGGTATTATATGAAAAGTCATATAATTAGTCCCATATATCTATAACATGGTCGTGAGAAGAAAAACGAAGAGAAAATCACGTGAAGCATGCCCCACCTTACCCCCCTTAAAGACAGAGCATCTCACTGCTTCAAATCTTCAAGAACTTTTTAAATATATTTATTGGTAACTATTTATTTCGTTTTATATTTTTTCCTAAAACCTTTCTGTATATAATTCTTTTCTTTGCGATTAAGCTTTGTAATTTGATGATGATCTTTTGTTTTCTATTGTTCTAATTTATGGATATATAATTGACTACATATGTGAACACGTTTTTGATTGTGTGTATTGGCTCCTTCTAATTTGTCAGCATACCGTTTAAGCTTACTTATAAATAAATATTGTTATTATTGGCTGGAAAATTTAAAAGGCCTAAGTTTAAGGAGATGTATCAATACACGTGAGCTAACCTCTTAGCCCCACACCCTTTATCTCTCTCACTTAAAATCATTCACACATCAAATGTTTTTTTTCTGCGTTTTTTTCTTTTTGCTTTGGATAATACAAAAATAAAATTTCTGTACCTGGAGCCAAAACTAAAAAAAGGTGTAAGTTAATACCAATACTTAGATCTAATTTATAAAACTAATATTTCGGTTGAATATGGAATGGTTTGGCTTACCGGATTAACTAACCTTCTTCAACTTTTTTTGTCACTACCTTTTTTTTTTCCCAAGTTTTGAGATTCTCCATCTATTTAGTTACAAGTGTTTTATTTCTTGGTGTGAAATTTATTTCAATCAATTATCTATTTCCATTTTTGAGTTCTACGGTTGAAAACAAAACCAAGTTGACACCAGTGTCTCATTTAGATGAACGACTAGTAAAGAATAATGGACCATTAGAGACTCTGTTTCTATAAAAGCTTAGTGGATACTTTGACAAATACATACACGAATCTTCCTGTTAATAGAAGAATCAATCTAACAACGCTTAGAAAAAACATTTAAAATAAGGAAGGATCGAGTAAAGCGATATGTTTAGTAAGTTTACGTCATTGTAACTTGTAAATGTGAACCAAAACTAGAACCCATATTTTTGTTTTCTTCGTAAGTTAATATCGATCAGATTATGAAAAATAAATAACAATATTATGCGAATGAATGAACAATCATTTGTTAAGGAATACGTAATAAATCATTGCAAAATAGTACACAAAATTATTATCTTTAATATCATTCATGTTTGTTTGCACCAAAAAATATTAAAATAGTAGTATATTCATGTTTTTTACAACCAAAATTATACTAATAATATATCTGAAGAAAAGAACAAAAGAAGTAGTACTATTATCTTCCTTTTTTCTCTACAAATAAAAACTATAATTACATACTTTTTTTTTCTTGATTAACCAACAATCCCACCGAAAAACAAAAGTGGAATCGCTGAAGAGTCTTATCTATAAAGACTATACCCCATTTCCCCCCCTTAATATTTTCCCAACCTTCTAACTAATTGGATATATATTAAAAATAACCAAAAACAAATTGATTACTAAGTAATTAACAAGCTGCAGAAGGATTAGTGAAAGGATTGTAGAACCGAGGCTTTGTAACGATGGAGAAAGGTCCTGTCGCCGCTCCTCCATCAACCGCCACCGTACCTCCGCCGCCGCCTGCGCCACCACCACCGCCGAGTCTTTCACAAGAAGGGCACATCGTCAAAGTCGCCGCTGGCATATGCATGTAAAATGGTTGAGACAATTTCAAAGCCTTCAGATCTTGGAGCTCTTTTTGAAGCCTTCTATTCTCATCCGTTAAAGTCTCACAACATTTCTTCAAAAATTCACAATCCACTTCTGTTTGCTTTAGTTTTGTCCTGTCCAAATGAAAAAAAACAAAGAATTTAATTCAGAACAAGAAGTAATTTATATATGTGAAGTTTTTTTTTTGGAGCATTAATTTCTTAAAATTTAATCAATTAAAATTCTTTAACAAAATAAAAAATCAATTAAATTCACCTAGCTCTCCGGTTCTGGAACCACACTTCAACTTGTCTAGGCCTTAGATTCAGCTGTCTCGCAAGAGCTTGTTTTTGCTTCTGTGAATTTTTAAAAAGATTAGTTAGGTAATGATCAACGTAACCCTTGTTGCCAGAAAAAAAAATGATCAACGTAAATAAGAACATATTAATCAAGAAAATAATTAAACTATATCATACGGGATTAAGAGTGCTATGAAGTTTGAAGCTTTCTTCGAGAAGAGCGGATTGTTGTTTAGTGAGTCTAAGCTTTTTACGAGCACTAACACCTTCTTCGTCTTCATGATCTTCACTCACTCTCGAACATACTACTCTCTCCGTCGTCTCCTCCGCCTCTTCTTCGCCGCTGCAGATTTCTCTTTCTCTCTTTATTCTTCCGCTCGAGAAAGATGATATTCCGCTGTGAGACGAAGTCTGCCGGCAAATCTGGTCTCCGGCGCCGACAACGGTCATCTCAACCGTTTTGGTCTTGTAACTCTCACCGGAGAGGCTTAGAGTCAACGACGGATCGAGACGGTGGTCAACGGTGGTGGAAGATTTCTTGATGGCATGATTGTAATTATTAGGCGTTGGTGAGAGGCCTAAACCAAGAACAAGACCTGTGTTGCATGAATCATCAAGACCCATTTGAAGAAAAAGAAGTTGATCTTCGAATTTTGTTTCTTCCTATGATCAAAGCTTCAAGATCTCGAGGGTAATACTAAGAAAAAAAAGTTTTTTCGTTTTTTTAAAGAATTTTTTTTTGTGAAGTTTGGAAGATAATTGGGGACGAAATGAACCAAGAGGCTTCTTCTTAAGAAGGAGAAGAGACCTTTTTTTTTTTTTTTTTTGATGGGTGGGTGGGTGGGTGGCTAATAATTAGAATTAATCAATTAATCAAAGGAATGGATTCATATTTCTACGATTATTTTGGTATTTTTGAAAAAGAATGTGGGAAATTATGATGGCACAATTCTCTCTCCTTATAATCTTCTCACTTACAAAGGTTGACCAAATTAGCACCCCACTTGCAACTATTCTTCCCACTGCATAAATTTCTATATAAATATTTATTGTAGTAACAAAATTTTACATATTTTTTTGAAATTAAATATTGTTTTTAACAGGAAATTTCCAGACTGAAACTTTGACAAATCTTAAAAAATCATAGCTTTTATGTGAACAATGGAAGTCTATTATGTTCCTTCCATTAAAAAAAAAAACAAAATTTAGGGGTTTAAATATATTAATTAATCAAATATAGTGAATTTTAATTTTCTACATAGTTAAATTTCTCAATTTATCAGTAGTTAAAATTATATGCAATAGTTAGTATAAAGATAATATATTCATAATTAAGTAATACTATATTTTTATGTGTGAAAATTCTATAAAAAATGTATTCACTGAAATATGAGAGAATATACGGTTAAACCCATTATTGTTAATTTTTCAGTTTTCCATCTTAAAAAATGTAATGTAAGAAAAATAGAATTAAGTTTAACAAAATGTTGATTTGTCCGTAGTCAATGACATTTGTAGGCCAATGTCGGGGTTTATTTTTGCATTTGTAAGTCTTACGTCGTTTCAACTTAGTGCTAATTTAATTTGTTACTCCGAGATATATCTACAAATTTTATCAAAGTCGATTATACAATTACTTCCACATGGACGGACGTTTCTATATCTCCCCCACCTTCGATAATCGATACACAATATTAATTATTTTCAAAGATTGTTCCCTGATAAAATATGTTTTGAATTTTCATTCGAGAGCAGATATTCTCGTAATATACCACCGAACATTAGATATAAATAGTTATTTCATATTTTTAATTTGTAAAGAATACCGCTCTATATTTGTACATAGATTAGAAAAGTTGCTTGAATATCTCAGCATGTTCTATCTAATATACTACTTATTTAAGATAATGAGAGACTGGTTAAGAGGGGACTATAAATAAGAGACCACATGAATTGTCTCCCACTCCATGCTTTGCTTGAAGAAGGCAGATATGGGTAACATGTCAGCTTGCCTACCAATCTTCAACCTCTTCACACTACACATTCCCCCTTTAATATTTTTTATTTTCTTCTAATTTCCTGTATTGTTTATTTTTGGTTTTGGATTGTGATCTTTTCTTTTTAGGTTCCGTTTTCTCAGGGACGGATCCAAAATCAATATTCGTATAGGGCATAAATAAAATTATATTTTAAAATACATATATAATATTTATTCCTAAAGTAGTTTTAAAAATATTTTGTAAACCTAATCTAAATCATATAATTACTAAAAAGTATTATTAACTTAATTATAATATATGTGTATCATATATTATATATATTCATGTTAATGATAAAACAACAACAACAATGTATAAGAGAAATGAAATATAAAATAAAATAATCAAGAAGATTAAAAAAAGAAAATTTGAGATAAATAAGAAAAATATGATAAATAAAAAATTAATAATAAATGTTTGATAGTTAATTAGAGAGAAAGGTAATGCAGTCAATCAAAATAACAAAGGTTTGATAGTTAATTAGAGAGAGAAGTAATGCAATCAATCAAAAGAAGAATAAAAACACGGAAGAAGAGAAAAATAAAATATAAATAAATAAGAGAAAATGTGGCAAATAAAAAACTAATAACAAAAGTTTGATAATTATCTAGAAAAAGAGTGAGAATATAACTCTACATATAAGAAACTTGAAAACACATCAATAACAAATTATCCTAACCATTAAATACTTATGGTAGTAAATATAAAACTTTATAAATTAGTGTAGGGCATATGCTATAACTTTTACAATGTAGATCCGCTCCTGAGTTCTTTTGATCTGGCCAGATTGTGTTTTAGATTATACATAGTTTATGTCCACCGTGTTTTTAGAATAATATGCTGTTTTTAAAAGGCATATATATATATATATATATATATATATATATATATTACTTCCAGTTTATACCACTTGAAAAAGAAAGAAAAAAATGAGTAGACGGATAGATAATGGAATAAAAACTTTACCATGCGACTTTTAAACTATTTTTGTTGTTGTTCAAATTGACTTTTAAACTATATGACATCATAAAGATATCCTCTCTATCTTTACATGCCTTTTTGTAGAGTTTAGCTAGAGAAACGAGTGAAATCGAGGATTGGTTTAATTTTCACCACCTCGCATTTTAACAATATATAGAGAGGAAGTTTTTTGTTTTATTAATCAAGCAGGGAGATGGTTGTTCTATTGGTAAATAAAATAATTAAAGCTATATCGATTTTTACTAAATGTTTTCATTATAGTTTTCTCTGTCCCTCACTCTTTTTTATTATAAATGATGTTTTAGTTATCAAAATTTGAGATTTAAGTCAAGTTTTAGATCTTCAATACAAAATTAAAAATCTATTTTTTAGCATTTATATTCTATAGGTCTCTACTATTACTGGTTTAGTTATTTTGAATTACACAATGACGACATATAATATATAATATAAAAATAACCTTAAAAATAAATATATATGATTTATTAATTTGTATATAAAATGACTTAAATGAAACTGAAGGAAGAGTAGTTTGGATTACAAATTTAAGACACCTTGTCATGATATTATCTATAGATGAATAAAATATAGATCGAAACGGGTGGAAGAAGATTGTTGAGGGACTTGCTAATAGAGGTGAAAATTGATTCGTCAAACAGAATGAATAAAAGATTGTTTTGGGACTTAACTAAGAAAGTTGACGTGGATCGTTTCATTGGCTTTGGGTTTTATTTATGTTTTTGGCGCTTTCCAACCAAGTAATTTAAGTTAGGTCACCCATAATGTGTACACATTAGTATAAGCGTGGCCGCGAAGGAGAATTGGAGAAAGTCACGATTCAGTTAAATTCGTTTCTACTGGTTAATGTGGTTTATAATTTTATTTATTCCAATTAACCAAAATTCTAATACCAATCTTCGGTTTTGTCTACACCATCTCCATTAATCCCTTTTGTGAAATTTTATCTTCCGTCTACATTTCATTTAGAATAGCAAAGACAAATACAAAATGGAACAGCCACACTGAATTGATTTTATATATTCATTATTTATGTAATATCATGATTTTTTAGTGATTTTTTTTTAATCAAAAGTTTCATGTATGTACATATTTCATGATTTACAAAATCATTTATATTATAAAATTTTCAACTAGCATATTAATTTAAAATATATACGAAAACAACAGTTAAACAAATTGGGTATATTGTATATATATAGCCAAGTTGAATCGTATTTACCTAAAAACCTAATAAACTTTCTACTAAACATATATAATTGATGTGGTCACTCCTATATAACAGCTATAATACTCGAGTTGTTTCTTCGTTTTCAACATTTTGCTGATATCTTCTGCTCTGACTAAAAAGAATGCAAATGCCAATTTGCCATAACGAAAATCTTCCTGACTTGTTGAAAGGGTCAAATTTTGTCTTTTGGAAGTTGGAACAAAAATAATTGAAACTTTAAAAATATTCCCAGGATGTGGATGATAATGATACGGATGCGTATTCCAATTAACGAGAAGTTTTAACCATTTGGACAACAGTGAAATGCATACAGATGATACGTGTAATATTATACTATTATAAAAATAATTTTGTTCCTCATGGTATCGGTCCCCGACGGCCGACCAGTCTCCTAAGGGGGGAAGGTGTGGCAAACTCATTAACACGACGACATATGTATTTATTAATTACTACAGTATTCAATAATTAGTCCTAGTGTTGTATTGTATTTAAGGCTCGAGGTGTCAACATTTCGAAAACAAGTCATGGCTTATGATTAAAAAGATCTAATATAATACTAATTTGAATCAACAAAGACACAACATATAAAATATTCAAAGCAAGGACGTACGAGAAGACAAACTAGTAATTGGATTGACCCAATTTAACATAATGATTTAGGCGATCTCCCAATAACCCATACGTCATGATTTTAATTTATTTTCTCTTACTTGTTTTTTTTTTTTTTTGAATTGAAGATATATTATCGCATTTTGTTTTCTATGTCATGTAACACATAATCATATCAAAATAATTATATTATACGATAAAATTATAAAATATAGAAAAAAAGTCATATTCAAAGACCAGCTTTTACTAGATTTTTCTTAATTATTATCTTCATATGAAAGATAGAGATGATAAATAAGATTTATAAAACATTATGAATAAAACTATACGTACTTCTATCTTATGAAGAGTGTTATTTAAATATTTTTATTTGAATTGATTTATTTATATTTTTCAATATGGTTATAAAATAGCATAGCTCTGACTACATTTTATATCAGCTTAAATTTAAATTTCTTAACTTTCACTATAGAATAATATTTCACTACAGGTATATATACTGTAGTATATAAAGCGAATAAAGTGTTTTACTCACAATATCTAAATAGTAATCACTGATAAAACTAATTGAGTATATATAAGTAGAACACTAGAATATATAAAACTTATTGGAAAAAAATCTACAAAATAGTATAAAAAAAGTATTTGTTCCACTACATTCCTTCAACATTTTGAATACAATTGACAGGGTTGTTTTTTAATCTAAATGGTAGAACATTATAAAAATATTTAATTTCAATAATTTTTATTCAGTTTAAATGGTGAAATTTAGATTAATTATACCAACCATTTCTTCTAAAAATATAACCATCTGCATGCTGAAGTTCTTAATATTTATTTTTATTTTACTTTTTGAATATAAACCGAGATATGTGAAATGATTGAGACAAAATTAGTTTTTATTGATCACGACAACTTGTCTTTGTAGATTTGTCAGATATACTACTACTACTACAT